TGGAAGTGACCCCTTGTATGGGGCATGTGAAGAGATATCTTGGAGGGAGGGTGTATTTCGACATCGTTGGGGAGACTTGGGTTTACACTGGTCCTACTCCTCCCCCACCTCCACCAGTTCTTGCCCAACAGAGCTGTCCAGAGTCCGGCGGAGGGACACGCGGACCGCGAACGCTTCTCCCCCTGCTGCTGCCTGCTGGCCAGAATATGTCCTCTCCTTTTCCAGCGCGGGAGGGAGGGAGGGAGGGAGGGAGGGAGGGAGGGAGGGGGGGGAAGGAGGAGGGGGGGAGAGGGGAGAGGAGGATAAGGCGGGAAGGAGGAGGGGAGGGGGGAGGGGGGGGGGGAGGGCACGTGCATCGGGATGGCTCGAGATGGTCCTGGGAAGGGCCCAGAGGGGTCCAAGAGGAACAAGGGGAGCTCGATGGGAGAGATGAACGGAGAAGGCAGGAACAGGAGGAGGAGGAGGAGGAGGAGGAGGAGGAGGAGGGGCAGGAGGAGGAGGAGGAGGATGAGGACCGACGGGCCCCAAAGGGGTGCCGAGCCAGAACGGGTTTTGGCCCACCCACCCACCCGCCTTTCAGCCCCCTCCTGAGGCCCCGGGCGGGAGTTGAAAGGCGGGGGTCCGCCCCAATCCCGAGGCCATCTTGGCTCCGGCCGCTTCCTGGGGGCAAGACGCGCCACCTGTGAACAAGCCTCGAAGCCTTGAGCGCAGGGATCCTCGTCACAAACCACGGGCCTGGCACCCCAGAAGGACAATCTCGGATAGAGGACAGACGGACGTACGCTTTCGGAGGTCCGCGCGGATCCTCTTTGGGCGGCGCTGGGTCCCCCTCCCTGGCGCGCGGCACGCGCCAGGGGCAGCGCGCCAGGGGCGACGCAATACGCGCCGAGCTGCCACGGGGGGCCAAGAGCCGATCTGAAGACCTCCGCGCGGTCCTCAGAAAAGTTGGCCTTCGACGAACGACGATAGAGCAACGGACCTTGCGCGGGATGGTGCGGCCACCTTGCGCGGTGGCTCACGCGGGCCGCCAGCGCGGCATGCGACATGGGAGACGAGAGCGCTCACGCGCGAGCTTAGGCGGGTAGCTTACGCGCCAATGTCGGCGCAGACGACCCCGTTTTCTGTCGTCGCTCAAATGCCACTTCTTCTTCTTCTTCGACACCCCTCTGATCATCGTCTTGCCCTATGATGTTCCAGCCTACTGTGTAGCTTTGATTACCGGAAAGAATTTCGAGCACCAAGAAAGTGCCGAAACTTGAGGGTAACCGCGTGTCGGGCCCTGCGAGGCGATACTCGTTCGACACTGTTTCGATACTTTTCCGGGTGCTCGAAATGATTTCCGGGATGTGGTCCTTAAGCACGATGGGAGCAACATGCGTCTAGCCGATCCCCATCCCCACTGGCATGGCCTAGGCCCCACTGGCCGACGTACCCCCCCTAGCTTGGGATACGTGCTGCTCCCCTTCGGGCTTCGCGGGGAATATCCCCACCCCTGCAAAGGTGGGCTGTTGGGGCCGAGAGACTTGAACCTAAGTTTTAGTCGGGCGTGTCCCTCTACAGGATAGTGAGAAAATAATATAGGGACGACTTTTGGTAGATTTTAGGGTATTTTGGGGGTGTTTATGATTTTGTAGCCAAAATCCGCCTGTAAGAGGTGCCCGACCGAAACCTCAGCGGCGGATTTCGGAAACCCTGAACCCAAAAACGTTTTCATCTCTTGGAGGCTTTATTTTGTACTGTCGCCGCCTTCCGCCGGCCTTCCGCCGGCGGAGGCGGCCTCGTTTTACCTCCGCCGACCTTCCGCCGCCTTCCGCAGCGGAAGAGATGACAACTCCTTCGATCCTCACCGCCAAGGCCTTTGGGAAAGCCTCAAGTGGGGATCGGCATCGGTGAGACCCGGAACTCCAGCGTCGTGTGACTCTCTTGCAACGTGGACCCCCAGAGGACTGGACCCCATGCCCGGGACCTGGTTTGAATCCCGAATCGTTCTTTTGGCGGTCCAAGGACCCGGTGAGGGCACCCGAAAGCAGACTCAAACAAGAATACTAGAAGATCCCCTTGCGATTCCTGCGCAAGGCGAGGAGGTGGGGGGACGATGCTGACCCAGCAGGCAGGAGAGGAAGAGAGGAGAGAGGCCAGCTAGATGCGCTCGCGCCACATTTCACATCCTTCCCATTGCGCAGATTAGTTCTCTATCCGCCAACGGATGTCATATCGGACCCGGACCTCCCGAAAAGACCCGTCGTGTTATGTACAATCTGGAAACTGAGATCTGTGTACATTTGGAGAAGGAGGAGGAGGAATATCAATAATAATACGAATAAGAAGAAACAGACTGAAAATAATAATAATAATAATACGAATCAGAATAGCAATAACAATAATATGAATCATGCTAAGTATCATATAAGCAAGAGGATGATGATGTTGATGATGCTGATGGTGACGACGACGATGGCGATGATAATGACGACGACGATGATGATGATGCTGATGAAGATGCTGCTGCTGCTCATGATGATGATGATGATGATGATGATGATGATGATGATGATGATGATGATGATGATCATGCTATGATGGTGATGATGATGATGATGATGAGTCTGATGATGATGATCATGATCATGATGATGATGATGATGATGATGATGATGATGATGATGATGATGATGATGATGATGATGATGATGATGATGAGAAGGGAGGGATGAGGACGAGGAGGAGCAGCAGCGGGAGAAGGAGTAGGAGGAGGGGGAGGAGCAGGAGGACCACGGGAAGGCGGAGGAGGGAAAGGAGCGGAGCGACAACGCGAGGGAGGAGTCGGATCCAGGATTGTGGCCAGCGCTAGGATGAGGGCGCTGTTCTGAACGACGGGAGCAGAGCGTCGTTCAGATGGGAGTAGACATCGACAAAACAACGTTCGTGACATGCACACGTTAACTTACCCAGGCGACGTGCCAAAGCAATGTGCAACACATGTACGTAGCACAGGGTCCATGTTGTACAAATCATGCCACGGCAAGGAACTCGCTTTATCGTGGACAATTAATGGGAGGCTTACCCGGTCCGCAATTCAGGGAATCCATAGTTCGGGTGAAACAACACCGTATATTATGGCACGGAAGCGACGAGACGGAAAGACAAGAATGGCCAAGGTGGTGACTGAGGCAGCAGGGTGTCGGAATACATGGGAGAAGGGAACAAGAGGTCCGGAGTGTGGAAACATGCACGAGGATGGCCGGTGGTGATGAATCAACGGGGAAGGGGCTGGAGGCGAGGAGGAAAGGGGGAAGGGAAGAAGGAGTCGCCACGACAAGCTTGCGGCTCCAGAACGCAAGTATACTTCGTGAACCGAGCGAGGCCGAGCTCGCGGGCCAGGTACTCGGCTTCGTTCCAGGACGCTTCCGTGCGGGACCTGAAATGTCCGCCGTCGCGCCGCAAGGTCCGCGAGCGGCCTAGGGAAGAGGAACTCTGGCCTCAAGTCTCGCATCAACAGCAGATCTGCGAAAGGATTGCGAGATCTAATTTGGATATGGGTGGCACGTCACTCTGCTGGACCCCGCAGCGGCCCTCGAAAATCGACAGCTTCGCAGTTCGCAGCCCCCCAAAGATTGCGAGATCTAATCTGGATATGGGTGAAACGTCACTCCGCTGAACCACACCGCAACCCTCGAAAGTGGCGGCGGTTTCACAGTTCGCAGTCCCCCTGGGATGGCGAGATCTAGTCTCCATGTGGACGTCTCTAAGACGTCACTCTGCACCGGTGGACCCTCAGCAGCGTTCGAAAGTGGCGACCAATTCGCAGCTCGCAGACCCCAAGGGAGCCGCAAGGTCTAGTTTGAATATGCGTGAGACGTCACTCCGCTGGACCCCACAGAAGCCCTCGAAAGTGGCGACAGTTTCGCTGCTCACACACCCCCACGGGTCGCAAGAGCAAATCTTAATGTGCGTAAGACGTCACTCCGCTGGACCCCGCAGCAATCTTCGAACGTGGCGACAGTTTTGCAATTCGCCACCCCCTGGGGTTGGCGAGGTCGACTTTGTATGTGCGTAAGACGCCACTCCGCTCGACCTTCCAGGAAGCCACGAAAGTGGCGACGTTGCGCAGTTGGCAGGCACGCGTGGTAGGAAATGCGCAGGTCACGCATGTAGGAGGCAGGAGGAGGGAGCAGGCGGGAGGAAGCTTCCAGCAAGCAGCGCTCGATTCAAAACGAGGACCCAACCAACGGGAGGGCTGGGAACGAAACGAAGCAGTCCCCCCAGGGAGGAAGATGGCCAGGAGGAGGAGGAGGAGGAGGAGGAGGAGGAGGAGAAGGAGGAGGAGGAGATAAGAGGGATCATGTACACCAGCAGCACTTCATTCAAAGCAAGAACCCAACATGGGAGGGTTGGGAAAAGGACGGGTGAGAATTGGCCCCGCTCGGACAGGATCCGGGAGGAGATTGTAGACAGGAAGAGGAGGAGGTGGAGGAGGACCCAGACCCCCGACGTCATTTCTTCAATGAGGTGGACCCCCTGAGGTCTCGACCCATTCCTCGGGACCGGTTTTTCATCCTGAGTCTTTCTGCAGACAGTGCCGAGGCCCGGCAAGGGCCTCCAGAGGCCGAGAATTGGGAAACACTGTCCGTCGAGCTTTTGCTCATGACTCGAGGGGGTCTGGAGACGGAGGAGGGCGGAGGAGGAGGAGGAGGAGGAGGAGGAGGAGGAGGAGGTGCGCAAAGGTACGTGCTGACCTCTTGTACCTGGCGGGCGCCTACTCTTTTCTTTCCTGCTCTCGCCGCCGCCTTACTTTCCAGCCTGTCCCGCGGCGCCCGCCAGGTACTTCGTGCGCCGAGCCGGGTCTACAGTATGCCACGAACGCTACAGCTGCACAGCTTAAGTCCGATGAACATGAGAAAAGGAGGTGGAGGAGGAGCGGCGGCGGAGGAGCAGGAGGAGCAGGAGCAGGAAGGGCAGGAGCAGGAGGAGGAGGAGCAGGAGCGACAGCGGGCGCTCGCCAGGTGCTGCTGGAGCCCGACGTCCGCAGCAAGTTGTCGCAGCTGGTAGTGGTGGAGATGCTGTCCAGGGAGGGCTGCGAAGAGACGGCCTTGCTCGTGAACCGCGCCGCCTGCGCCGCATCCTCGCCTGCCCTCCTGCTCGTTCCTCCTCCTTTTCCTGATCCTCCTCCTCCTCCTCCTCGTTCCTCCTCCTCTTCCTCCTCCTCTTCCTCCTCCTCCTCTTCCTCCTCCGCCTCCTCCTCCTCCCCCTCCTCCTCCTACTCCTCCTGCTGGGCCCCTCCCCCTCCCTCCCCCCCCCCCCTCCCCTCCTCTCCCCCTCCCCTTCCCCTTCCCCCTTTCCCCCCCCCTCCTCCGCCGCCGCCTCCTCCTCCTCCATCTCCTGCTTTCCCTGCTCCTCCTCATCCTCTTGCTGCGAGCGCGATAAGGGTGGATAGTGGTCGCCAAACGCCTTGAACATATCCCAGAGGAAGAAACAAGGCATGAACAGAAACTTTCGGAGTTTCGCGTGGATTTCTTGGATCGGCGCCAGTGCCCCCTGGCAGCGCTAGCGGTGCCGCCCTCAGCGCGCTCCGCGCGCCAAGGAAGGGGGACCCAGCGCCGATCCGAGCAATCCGCGCGGAGCTCCGACAATCTATGGTTGTGCCGTTCGTTCCTCTTCGACGGGCGGCCGGCAAGAGCTCGTCGCTTGGGCAGCGCGGGTGTCATGTGCGCTGCCGGTGAGCCGCCGCCCGTGCTCGCACGTCGCGCTGGCGTCGACCGAGGTCGCCCCTGCGACTGGCACGTCGATGCACAGCCAGCACCTGCGATAGGAGACCTTGCCATACAGGGCTTCTTGGGGCACGCTCTCCGTCGACCTCGAGGGCCCCAAGGTGTCCCAGAGCTTCTGTGCGTCCCTGGGGCCACCGTGGGATCAGAGAGTTCCGCGAGGCGCCCGCCCTGCAGGCCAGTTCTTGTTTGATGGGGCCCGCTGGGCGTCTCTGGGCACGGCCACGCCGAGAACCCGCCCGTGCCAGGCCGCGCGCGCCCGGGCGGCCCCGGCGCGGCACGCGCTGCTCTGCGAGCATCTCGGCGCCCACGCGTTCGCGGCAGCCTGCAGGCCGACTCCGCCCCGGCAGCAGCTGCGGCGCCGTGAAGAGGCCAGGCCCCCACGAGGAGGAGGAGGAGGAGGAGGAGGAGGAGGAGGAGGAGGAGGAGGAGGAGGAGGAGGAGGAGGAGACGACGTATCCAAGAAGGTCTGTCCGACCACCAGCCTCGACCTGGGTCGACGCAGACGCATCGACGGAGGGAGAGTGGGCCCCAGCTGGGTTGCGCTCGGGTTCTTTTTCGGCCTCCCGAGGGGCAGCAAAACAATTTGCCACTTCCGCCACCAGCAGGGCCCACAAAAAGATGGTGCTCGAGGCAAACCAGATCTCAATATAGCCCTCGCAAGCGAGGGCCAAAAAATGAAAATGAATAAGCAGAAAGAGAGACAAGGCACTGCGGGTGACTCATCACCGCAACATGCCGCCGCTACTGGATATTTGAACGATCCCCCCCACATCCCACGATCCAACACCTGGCAAATCCACCACCCAAGGAATATAATGAAAGACGGAGCGCAGTGTCGATGAGAGCATCTCACCGTTCAAGTGCCAGCTCTGCATCACCTCGGATGTCATATACGCGCTCCAGAGACGTAGGAGTATTCTGAGCGAAACCTTTCGCTTCATGATACATATGAAAAGCCAATGCAACTGCTTCAAGGCATTCCTCACGTGTGAGTTCCGATCCCGCCCGCCCGTAGTCAGACGCCGCCCCCAGTCCCAACAGTACAATCGGCGAGCCTGGAAAGTGGCGCCTTCTCCACGCAGGGTGCATTGCGAGATGGTGATACATTCTCGAGCAGCGCAGATAGTGAGCAATATCATCAGGCTCTGCGCAACCCCAGATGCAGCTCGTGGGGACGCTGCCTATGTGCAGTCTGTGCGCGGTTGCCCACGCTCCGCAGAGGGTCTTGATGATACTCCATTGCCAGGCAGGCTTGAGACTCGCGATGCAGGTCCGACAGAAATCCCACCGTCCGACCACCGACCTCCGCCCTCCAGGAATCGGGACCTGCCACGCGAGAAGCCGTTTGCCCAACGTCTCAGGAAAAAAAGTCAGGGACAGCGGCAGCCCGAAGCGTGCGTGCAAAAATGCGCTGTGGATGCGGGCGACGTGCTTCCCGGATGGCTAGTTTGGTGTGACCACGCGCAGCACGAAACGCTGCATGCCACCCAGGCTTGTCAGAGAAGAAGGGGGGCGGAAACCTCGCCCGCTCCATGAATTGAGCGATTGAGAAAGGGCGCTTCCAGCAGGGCGCTGAGTATTTTCCTGCAGTGAAGCGAACTATCGTGGCATAGTCTTTCAAACTGTGCAGTGCACGCTGCCATGTATGGTTCATAATACAAGATGAGGTGCGCCAGCTGTTAGGACGGGGCAATGGCGAGCACATGGCAGAGCATTCAGATCAGCAAGACTG